CGGAGGGCCAGCCGCTGGCTGCGGGCCCGTCAGTAGCTCCTACATCTGCAGCACCTGACTTAGGTGCTCTGATGGTCATACTGCAGGAGCAGGCTCGCCGACAGGAGGAGCAGGCCCGTTGGTTGAAAGAGCAGCAGGAGGACCAGGCTCGCCGACAGGAAGAACAGGCTCGCCGACAGGAGGAACAGGCTCCTGTCGGCGTGAATGTCCTTCACGAAGAGCAGATGCTCCTCGTGAAGGACATTCACGCTAACTTCGAAAAAGAGATAAGGGAGGTGAAAGATAGGGTTGCTCAACATGACAACCGCCTGTCGGAAGCTGAAACCCAAATCAAGGAAGCTAAAACCCAAATCGACCAAGTGAACAATCGGGTTGATTACGTGATGGCTGACGTGAAGAAAACGCTGGACGACCTTAAACTGGGGGACGGAATTACAGCTCCCGTAGTAGCCACAACACCTTCGCTACGTGGGTTCAAGGTGCCACCGTTCGACGGGACTTCTTCCTGGTCGGCCTACAAAATCCAGTTCGAGACTGTTATGAAGGCGAACGGCTGGAATAAAAGTCAGGACATGACTGCTTTCACACTAGGCCTGCGCGACCAGGTATTAACAGTTCTGGAAGCTCTCGTGACTTATGAGCAACTCCTTGAGGCATTTGAGGCGAGATATGGCGACGCTCACCTGGAACACGTCTTTCGTGCGCAGCTTAAAGATCGCGTGCAGCGCATCAACGAAAACCTGCAGCAGTGGTCTCTAGAGGTGGAGAAGCTGGTGCGAAAAGCATACCGGTCTGTACCTGCGCTCATTGAAGGGAACCTGGTGCAGACATTCATCGATGGCATCCGCGACCTGGAAGTCAGAGCTGCTGTGAGGCTCGGGCACCACGAGACGCTTAAGGACTCCTTGGCCCATGCACTGGAGGTGGAAGCCGTGCGGCAGGATCATCGTTCCCATCGCGTCAGGGAGGTTGCAGCAGCTAAAGTTCGCGACCGCAACAAAGGATACAGCCCTAGGTGCTATGGCTGTGAGGAAAAGGGCCATCTTCGATCCAGCTGCCCTAAGCGAACTGTAGAAAGGGAAGTTGATCGATCTCGAGAGGGTAGTGCAGTAACGGCACTGTCTGGCGGTGGCAGGATCGTCGTTCCCCTCGCGCTAGGGAGGTTGCAGCAGTTACGGTTCGCGACTACAATAAAGGATACAGCCCTAGGTGCTATGGCTGTGGGGAAAGGGGCCATCTTCGATCCAGCTGCCCTAAGCGATCCCTAGAAAGGGAAGGTGAACGATCTCAGAAGAGAAGTGCGGCTAACATCACCGCCCGGCAGCAGCCGGGATACGACTTTACTATCAGACATCGCAGCGGGAAATCTCATGGCAACGCAGATGCATTATCAAGAACACCTTGTCCTGAAGATTGGAAACATTGTACTAGGCAAGAGAGTAAGGAAGTGGTATCCGTGAGGATGCTTAGGACAGACCACCTCAGCAACGAGTGGAAGGACAGCTTACGACATGCACAGCAGGAAGATCCGGACATCAAGCCGATTCTGCAATGGATGAAGGCCAGTGCTCCCAAGCTCAAGTGGAGCGACGTCTCAGCGATGAGTTCGACCACTAAAAGCGATTGTGCCCAGTGGGAAAGCTTGCTGATTCAGGATGGAGTCCTGTGCCGTAAATGGGAAAATGTTCGGGGAGACAGCTGTCATTTGCAAATGGTCGTCCCTAAAGCTAGAGTACCGGATGTTCTACAGCTGTACCATAATGATTGTTCAGGACGCCATCTGTGAGTTAAACGGACTCTACTGAAGATCCGAGAACGGTTTTACTAGGTCCACTGTCGAAACGATGTCGAGGACTGGTGTCGCAAATGTACAAGTTGTGCGGCTGTAATGGGACCTCACACTCGTAGTAGAGATGCATTGAAGTTGTACAATGTTGGTGCACCATGGGAGAGAATATCCATTGACGTGGCGGGGCCGTTTCCGGAGAGTGAAAGCGGTAACAAGTATTTCATGGTTGTGATGGATTACTTCACTAAGTGGCCAGAAGTCTTCGCCATTCCAAATCAAGAAGCTTCAACAGTTGCGGATAAGCTAGTTCATGAAGTCTTCTGTCCTTTTGGAGTACCTTTAGAGATTCACAGCGATCAAGGAAGGAATTTTGAGTCTCAAATATTCCAGGAAACTTCCGAGTTATGGGTACTCATAAAACAAGAACGACTTCTTATCACCCGCAATCTGATGGAATGGTAGAACGATTTAATCAGACATTGGAGAGGTACCTAGCAAAAGTTGTAGACAATCGGCAACGAGATTGGGACAAGCACATACAACCGTTTTTGTTGTCATATCGAAGCGCTGTTCACGAAAGTACAGCAGTGACACCAGCTTTCGCAAACTTTGGAAGAGAATTACGACTGCCTACGGACCTGATCACCGGGATACCACCTGATGCCCCACGCAGTATAACCGATTATGCAAATGACTTGCGGAACAAAATGAATGACATTTATGAGCATGTCAGACAATCGGGCCAGCAAATGTCTGAGAAGATGAAAACCCGGTACGACCGCAAAATGAACAATAAAGGCTTCGACGAAGGTTCACTAGTGTGGTTGCACAATCCAGTCCGCAGCAAAGGGAAATCTCCTAAGCTTCAAGCTAAATGGGACGGCCCGTACCGGATTGTAACCAGGATCAACGATGTAACCGACCGGATATAGAAATCCGCAAGAGGGACTCTTAAAATCGTCCATGTGGATCGCTTGGCACGTTATTATGGGGCCGATAATGTTCGGGACGAGCATGTCTTAGGAGGGGGCAGTGTTGCGCGAATAAGTCGACGTCATGTATTCGGCACTAGCGCCATCTAGTGTCAAGGACGAGAGCGAGGGGAGCTTTCCAGAAAATGACATCACTAATCTTTCAACCGACAGCGCCATCTAGTCTCGGAACGAAGAACTAAGCTTCTAGAATACGACACTCGAACTCTCGGCCCCTTGCGCGTATTTACTTGAATATTCTGGATCTTTCGGTACTAATTTGTATTTATAGTCGCTGCAAGATGCAATCGGGGAAGCATTGAATTCGGCGAGACAAGCGAAGCTTCGAAGCGGAATAAAGTGAATCAGTGTGATTAATTATTAGTGTTTTAAGTTTAATTAGTGTAAAGTAAATTAAAGTGTTAATTTAGGTAATTCAGACGAACCTCAAGCTCGTAACAGTATTAACATCAATGGCGAGTATATCACACGTTTTCGATTTGCCAACGATATAGTCCTTATGGCAAAATCGATGGAGGATCGAAGCACTATGCTCAATGGCCTCAATAGTGTCTTCCAACGAATATGTTGTAAGAAGAACATGGACAAAACAAAGATCTTGTGTAATGTCCATGTCACACCTATGTCGGTAGTTGTTAGGAGCACTAAGGTCAAAGTTGTTGACGAGTTAAGCTGGGACAAATAGTCCGACTAAGTAAATCCAACTCCGACCGAGAGGTCAATCGACGGATTTAACTAGGCTGGGCAGCGTTCGGGAGATTACGACACATGTTCTCGTTAGGCATACCTCAAAACCTCAGAACTATATTGTACAACCAGTGCATGTTACCAGTGATGACCTATGGATCTGAGACGTGGTCTTTCACTGCCAGCCATATGAAAAAGCTCAAAGACGATTAGTGAGCTATGGAGAGGTCTATGCTCGGGGTTTCTCTGCGTGATAATAAACTTAGCCTTAGGAATGAGGATATCAGTAGTGGAGCCAGGGTGACCTATATAGATTGCGGACTATATAGGTCACCCTGTTACGTACGGTTGTGTAACGTATATGATTGTGTTATTTTTTTATAAAAAAGTGCCGAAGGCTCTTGCTGGTTCTTCCCAGGACAGAAGTTTTTTTCCGAACCATTGGTAAATTAAACAAAAAAAGTTACTTTCATTAAGTATTTTTTATAATCTATATTGAATAAAAATGTTTCTGTTTCTATTTGTTACTAGTGAACTGCCGCGGTTTCGTCTGAATACAATCTATTGATGTGCCGTTACGAGTACTTAGATTTAAAATAATTAAAGACCAATTATTTTATCAATTTTTCGTTTAAAAAAAAACATCTTCAAGTTTTCCGAATTAAATATACCCTAGATGCTTCCTGATATTGCTCTCTATCTGTTCGAAAAGCTTCATCGCAACCGGTTCAGACATTCCGAAGATTATCCCAGACACCCAGATGAAAAATAAAAATAAAATTTGGTTGTGTCTTAATGACATGCAAATAACCCCCTGAATTAGTTTACTTGTATCTGTGCGCCTGAGATCAGTAGAAGTCAGTTATATTTCAATTTTACAGACAGTGCATGCAGGAAATAAAGTAAATGGGGCTCTACACTCTATTGTGAAAAGTCAGAATATGTCAAAAAAGGCACGTATGGCAATTCACAGTGCTGTATTAGTCCCTACTTTAACGTATGGTAGTGAAAGTTGGGTGTGGCAGAAGAAGCACGAGAGTAGAATAAATGCAGTAGAAATGCGGTCGCTAAGGAGTATGTTAGGGCTGAATCTGAGTGACAGGGTGAGAGACTGTGTGATAAAAGAAGAGTGTGGTTTGCAAGATGATGCGGTGACCAGGATTAAGAAAGGAATGCTTCGGTGGTTTGGTCATGTAGAAAGAATGAATGCGGAAAGACTGACAAAGCAAATATATGTTGCAGAAGTGAATGGAAGAGTCGGAAAGGGACGTCCTAGGCGGATGTTTGTCGACCAAATTGGCGATATACTAAAAATGGGCCAAAATAAAGAGTACCCTTAACCGACGAGCATGTATGCGTAGGTATATGGATGTGGAAGAGGCGAGAAAGGTATGTCAGTATCGTGCTAAATGGAAGTCTGTAGTCTCTGCCTACCCCTCTGGGTGACAGGTGTGAGTGTTTATGTTATGTTATGTTACAGACAGTCACTTCAATTTTATTTATACGAATAGGTAAAACTTTTGTTTTGACAGCTGGCAACGACTTCGCTTTGGTGAAATTAGAACGTACAAATGACAGCAAGGCGCTGATCATAGCGGCCGCCAGGCTGGACAGAGAGAGCGTCTCCAGGCTTTTGCTGACAATCAAATGCTTCAAATATGATACTACTCCGAAACTAAATAAGAGTTACAATCGTTTGGTAAGTTTTATCCGCAGCATTATTAGATATTTCATGGTTCACGGATTTCATACTGACAAAACCTAATAATTATACATGGTAGAGCCATGCTGCAATTATATTAGTAGTATAGTTGTAGCACGAATGGGTCGGCTCGACCAGGGAGGAACCACGCTCTCACAGAATACCAGCGTAAAATAGTAGCTTAATGCTGCTGTGTTTCGTATGGTGAGTGTAGAGATCCGGAGACCCTTTTTACTGGAAACGAGGCATTCCATCTTAGTCCTCACGGGTGACAACGCATCTGCATTTTGATTTGTAATCGAGGGTAGATGTAGATGTCTATGGGCCGCAGCAATCTCTTACCATCAGGTGGACTGTGTGCTAGTTTGTCACACTATCCTATTAATAAAATACGTTTCACTGTTAACCAGAGGCCTCCACTCATTTTGAGAAGATTGTAGAGGAAAAGTAACCGGCACAGCCCAACGGATTAGTTAAAGGCAATGGGCCGGCCATAATGCAGTGACGACTTGGAAGACATGCAGGAAGTCAATGGAGTCAGGACCGTGATTTGTGGCATTCCTTGCGTGAGACCTTTGTTTAGTAGTGGACTTGTAAAGCTGTAATAATGACGATTGGTCTATTAATGTAGAGAATCCAAACCCATAAATAAGAATGCAAAATGTAGACGTGTTTTTATGAGGGTAGATTATCCACTAAAATGCTTGTAAATAGTTCGTCGCGACAGCGTAATACGTTTGGCCAAGCTAAAAAAAAGGAGATCTCCCACCGGGCAAGTTGATGAACCTGGAGCGATCAACGCTATACCCATAGGCACTTCGGAATTTTGAAAGCGTGATGCAGGCTTCAGTGCGTTTTGTTTGTGGTGTGACGACATCGTCGCCACATGCGTATTAGTTAAATCTGTGGACGTTTAGTGTGGGTACGAAACATTTTATTCCTCAGATATGCAGGTTTCGTCACGATGTTTTAATTTTATTCAATCGCACAGATCATCAGCGTTAAATAGCAACATTATGCTGCAATATTTCGTATGCTGACTGACGGGAACAGGAGATCCTTTTTACTGGTATTGAGGCATTCCATCTTAGTCCTCAGGTGTGAAAACGCAATTTTTTTTTGTTTATTCATTGAAGACAGATGTAGATGTCGATGGGCCACAGCATCCCCTTACTGTCAGGTGGACTCTTTGACCCTAGTTTTATACAATTGTAGAAATAATAAATTAACTGTCACAAAATTTACCTACTTATGCGACAGTTGTCTTATGCTTAAGAGGAATTTGGATCCGTCGACTAAACTTCTTCATACACATGCAATTTAAACTTAACTGGAGGGGTCATCGACAGTGTCAGTTACTTTCTTACTTCAGCTTAGATATCCATTCTGCAAAGTTAAATGGTGGGTACATCGTTTATCAGACGTCATCGTAGACAGAAATAAAGCTATTGGAAGCTATCCAACCTTAAATAATATTTTCATTTACAACCGAGAACTCATAACAGTTGTAAATGAAAATATTCTTAGAATTATTTCTAGGAGCTCATACATTAACTTAAACTGAAAATTTTTGTTTTATACGTGTTATCCCCCATAACACGTTAGATGTTCTAACGTCTAACACGTTGACAATTTATCAATTTCAGGATCCATCAGAGATCCAAGTGCTGGTCAAAATATTGGACATCGATGACCACTTGCCGGATTTTGGCAGCCAGAACCTCACCGTTGGCATCCGACTCAATGTGCCCGTCGACACGGTCGTTGCTACAGTGCGTGCCGTAGACAAGGACCCGGATGCTCTGTCCATAGATTATAGGATTGTCAACATGAGCTTCGAGTCCCCCATTAAATCTAAGTCCTTACTACTACTAAACAACTTAACTGATGTGATGGTGTTGGATAATGTCACGGGAGATCTGAAAATAATGAAGAATCTGTTGCACTATGCAGACGGCATTTTTAGGTACGTACAAATATTCAATTGTAATTCCTTTAGCCGTGTGCCGTTTAAGCTGTATGGTGGTGGTGTAAGAGAATTTATTCTTACGTTTCGTTCCTTGGGTGACGTAAGAGGCGACTATGGGAAACGCCTAATAAATCTTATGGCTTCCGATAGATGGCAGTATAATCATCTCGTTACGTCGGACGTAAAATACCCTGAAGTTGGCCGGCAGCGTTAAAGGTGCGAGACCTAATTTTCAGTGATTTTTCTACTATTTTGATTAGACTAAGGAATATCACAATCTCAATTTCGTCTGAAAACTTAAAAACTTCACTATTTTTCCAACCTTAAGGATGGAGTTTTTCCTCATTCACAATTTTATGGGAACACCCCTGAACTATTTAATAAGCAAGAATAATCAAGATCGGTTCAAGGTATTTGAATATAATATCGCGATATATACATACAAAAATATAAGTTCTTTGCTTATATTTAACCCCCCCGAAAAAGTGGCCGCTCTTAAATAGGGTTTTTAAAGTTATTAGCAGAGGTTCTTAGAAATGTTTTATCAAAGTTGGTTAAGCCGTTTTAAGATCTTTTAAAGAGAGAGAGAGAGAGAGGAGCTTTTAAATTTTTCAATATAAGTTATATTATTAAATGATAATATTTTGCTCATATACTTTAACAGGTTGGTGATCCGTGCTAACAATTCACAAGGAGCCGATCGCTACAGCGATTTAATGGTGGAGGTAACGTTTTAATATTGTCGTCTTTTTTAATTGTAAACTTAAAAAAAACCTCAGTGACAGCCTGCACAGCCTGATGGAAGACTTGCGATTATGTAAGATTGTTCTGCATAGATCCAAGTCAAGCCACATCGATAACAATATCCAAACGAGAAAAGGCTTTATGCACGTATACATAAGATTGCTTCTTGCTTGCATTAATGGTCGGAGCGTTTTCTAGTTTTTTGCCTACAAATTTTTTTCTTAACAAAGGCCACTGGCCCTTATCGATGGGATCATTCTCGTTGTAATGTGACGTAATACGCAACTGGCTGTCGTAACACTATCCCCCTCCTAGATATGATCGTCCCGATCATCATTCGTACCGTGATATCGTGCTAATCAATCAATATGTACTACCTTTGGTTTTCCTCTTTGCCCTTTCTTAATGCGGTATATGGTATCATTAATCCTTTTTACCACCTTGTAAGGTCCTACCCATCAAGATCGCAACTTGGGACTCTTTCCCTTTTTTCGAAGAGGATTATGCAACCACACGAGAGTTCCTTCATAATATTCATATTGTGTTTGCTCTCCGATCATAACGAGTCTTCATCATCTCACTAGTCTTAAGTTTTCTTTCGTTTTCTGTTTTTATTTTGTATTGTATATTCGCCGGCAGGATATTTCACTCCTTGGCTGTGCCCATTAAAAAAGATGACTTATGACGTTTAGTGTGTATATACAAAATGTCAACCCAGTGTGAAAGGTAATCTACACTACGTCTGGTACTCCGAAAGGAGAATGGAGGTGGCGGTATGAGCTTATAAAGCTCACATGCCCACTCTCCGAAATACGATCTGTAGAAGACCGACAGACAAACAACTTGGCGGCGAGCTAAGCTGTGAAGCTTACTTCACCAGCTTATTGTCGTCGATAAGCCTTTGCCTTGAACGAATCAACCACTGGACCCGACAAGTAAGCGGACTTACCCTCTTGGCTACTTGGCCCTCTGCTCTTTGTCATATTGCTGAATGCTTCCAGAACTCCGAGTTTTTGCTTTTCGCGGATGACATAAAAGTTTTTAGAGTAGTCAACAACTCTTATGATTCTAATCTCCTACAAAACGATCTTATTAACTTAGATAATTATTGTATCCGTAACAAATTAGACTTGAATGTTTCGAAGTGTAATACTATGTCTTTCGGGCGGAAGCGTGATATACTTTATTTTTCTTACACACTTAAAGGTTTGACAGTAACTAGATGTGATAAAATAAGGGATCTTGGAGTTATTATTGATACTAAGCTTTTGTTTGATCAGCATGTGGAAGATATCGTTAATAAAGCATATAAGGCTCTGGGTTTTATTTTAAGGTCTTGTTGCGAATTCCGTCAGTTAAAATCAATGAAAATATTGTTTTGTTCTCTTGTTCGTAGCCATCTCGAATATGCGTGTCAAGTATGGAATCCTCAATATAAAATATATATTAACAAAATCGAAGCGATTCAAAAGAAAATTCATTCGATATGTAGGTTCTAAATTACATATATCCAAAGGAGGCTACGAATTGCAGTGTTCTCATCTTCATCTCCTCCCGCTGCAAACTAGGCGCTATACAGCTGACCTGGTCTTAATAAGTAAAATTGCTCAAGATCGTTTAGACTGCCCTGACTTATTAAAAAGATTACATATCTCAGTTCCCTCTCGTTCACTGCGCTATTACAATCCCTTACATGTTTCTTTATGTATATCAAATTACAGGCGAAACTCATTCTTCTTAAGAGCATGTAACTCATTTAATAAATTTTCTAAGGACTGTGATAAGGCTGACCTCTTTTCTACTAGTGGTACTACTATCTGCAAATTGATAACATCTGAATTCAGTAGCAATTTACTCTTGAACTCTTAAATCTAATCAACACCAATGTATAAATTATATCTACTTGTATATGTTGCATGTATACGTTACTCATCTGTGAAAACTTTTAATAGGCTTACTTTGTAAATTATATTATATACCATATAGTATTAATTAAAAGCTGTAAGTTTTCCTGTTATAAATAAATAATATACATAATTACATAAACACTCACGCCTGTCACCCAGAGGGGTAGGCAGAGACTACGGACTTCCATTTGGCACGATCCTGACATACCTCTTTCGCCTCTTTTACATCCATATATCTACGCATACATGCTCGTCGGTTAAGGGTACTTCTAACGTGGCCCCTTTTCAAAATATCGCCAATTTGGTCGATAAAATTTTTTCTAGGGCGTCCCTTCCCGACTCGCCGTTCACATCTGCCATATAAATTTGCTTTGTCACTCTTTCCTCATTCATTCTTTCTACATGACCAAACCACCGAAGCATTCCTTTCTTAATCCTGGTCACAACCATCTTGCATACCACATTTATCTCTTATCATGCTAATTTCTCACCCTGTCATTCAGATTCAACCCTAGCATACTCCTTAAAGACCGCATTTTTACAGCATTTATTCTACTTTCGTGCTTCTTCTGCCACACCCAGCTTTCCTATACATTAAAGTAGGGACTAACACAGCATTATGAATTACCGTACGTGCCTTTTTTGACACATTCTGGTTCTTCATAATAGAGTGTAGTGCCCCATTCACTCTATTCCCTGCATTTACTCGTCGTTCTATATCCCTATCATATCTACCATCCCTGCTAAATACACATCCCAAATACACAAACTCATCCACTTGCTCAATTATCAGTCAGTTTTGTTTTCTTCTCTTTCAAAAACCATCACTTTCGTCTTACTTGCGTTCACTTTCATTCCCCTTTCTTTTAATTCCCAGTTCATTAATGTAACCATCATTTGCAACTCAACCGCCGATGACGCAAATATGACTTGATCATCGGGGTACAAAAGGCATTTGACGGTTAACTCGCCCATTCTTAACCCACATCTTCTTTCAAAGTTTGCAAACACCTGTCCATAAATAGGTTGAACAGCCACAGGGGAAGCTACACAGCCCTGTCTGACACCTTTTTGGATGCCAAACCAGTCCGAGTAGACCCCATTGATCCTGACACAAGCACTAGAGTCCCTATAAAGAGACCTTAATGCCTGTATCAAACCAGCGCTCAACCCATATGAGTTCAGTATTTGCCATAACACATTCCTGTCCACTCTGTCATAAGCCTTTTCCAAGTCCATGAACGCACACAAACTTTCTGGTTTTTGGCCAAAAACTTCTCTGCAATCATGCGCATGGAAAAGACTTGATCTGTACACCCCATTCCCTTTCTAAAACCCGCTTGCAAAAATAATATGTACTATTGAAACCTACACAACAGCCATGCACACATATATAATATACATGTTCATAGTAACAAGTGTACGTCGTGGTACAGGTAGTAGTGGTGCGGGAGAGGGACCTGCTGCGGCTGGCGCTGGGCGGGCGGGCGCGCGTGGGCGAACTGCGCGCGCGCCTCGCCGCCCTGCTGCAGGACCACCGCCTGCGCCTCCAGCTGCACGACGCACCGCACTCCGCCTTCTACGATACCGCCGGGTGAGAAATACCGCTGTCTCGCTTTACCGTGACAGGCAGGAGCGGAGCGCGACGCGCAGTTATATCTATACATTCGTTTTCATTATTTACGACTCGCACCTTTAAAAGCAATTCTATTTAGTTAAGATTAAGATGTTGACTATTTGCGTTCTTTTTTATACTTTTGGTGCATTGTTAGTAACTAGCACAATTCAAGTTTGTCTCACACTAAAACTAAATGTAACTGCACTGTCATTTAGTGCGTTTATTTATACCAAAACACTCGTAATGCAACGTACATATAAGGAGTACAAAAGCAAAGGCACCACTGTCCATTTTTTATCAAAACGTAACTAATGATGCCATCTATTAGATCTTTTTGTAAACTTTAATAACATTCTGATGATTTCAAAGCAATGTTCCCACTGTCCCATAGAAAAACACGTTTTAAAACTATGTTATAGTGCAAAAACGCTACTGTCCATAAACATTCAATTACAAAAACGCCATTGTCCACATCAGCCAATCACAAGGCACTAACATTGCGATAAACAATATGGCCGCTGATGTGTTTTGTATGACAAATCGCTGCTGTATTTTATTGAGTTTATAGCTTAATTAATTGGAAAAACGTTTACAAAATGGAGAAAAATGTTCAAGAGTGTTTACCGGAAAAGGCAAGAAAACGGAGATGAGCACAGGGAACCTGGAAACATGCGAAAGCAAAGGAAGAAAGGTAAGCGTGTTTGTACCGTCAGATCAAAAATCGTATTTGAATATTTTTTGTCGTTATGATTCGATATTATTATTTTGTCAAATTTAGTGTACTTACTTGTAGATAGAAAATAATAGTTTCAGTGGTTGTATTTTAATATTTTATTTAACTTTTTACGCGGTAATATATCCTACTAATATTATAAATGCGAAAGTTTGTGAGGATGTATGCATGTGTATGTGTATGTAGGTATGTTTGTTACTCTTTCACGCAAAAACCACTGAACGATTTGGCTAAAATTTGGTACACTGATAGTTTATAACTTGGATTAACACATAGGATAGTTTTTATCCCGATTTTATTTTACCGTGGGATAATTTTCGAGTAGTAGCGGGTGAAGACGCTGGCAACAGCTAGTCCGCTAATAAATATGAACAAGCATATTAACTGACTTCAAAAGAGACTCGACCAATTATTGTGGACCTATTTTCAAATTTTGTTTTGATCAAAAGCCTATTTTTAGTTTTAGAAATGTGCTTAATATTTTTGATGGATTTTATTTTAGTTTTTTTCTAAATATCGAACCGAGGATCATTGATCACGAAATAGTTTAATTCAGTTTTACCGTGATTATCATACATCAGGATTTTACTTTAGATATATATTTAACCCAAATCGTTTTCTTTATAGGTACTCGGCCAAAATGCCCCCTGATGTACCTACCTGTAATCACGGACCAAACGACAAAAAATTTCATTGCAAAAATTTAAGTCTCTTACACATTACACATTTTCACGATCAATTTTACAAAACTAAAAATAAAAAAGACCAGGATGCCTTCATTCTTAAACACTGTAAAGTAAATAAAGCTTTCAGACGCCGCCCTCGAGTTGGACTACGAAAACCAACGCAAAATACTACAACACTATTTGTACGTAAAAGGAACAAGGTCGCACTGTTACGAGTTTGCCAGAAAACATTTGTTCACATCTTGAATATTACAGTTCAGAGAGTAAGAACTGTTTCTCGAACTTTTGCTATCACAGGATCAGTTGTTAAGGAAACAGAGGCGGTGATCATACTTCTGCAAAAAACTTGCATAAATTAAGGGCTGTCAAGCAATTTATTGAATCGTTTCAATGCTTAAGTTAAAGCGGCTTAAAGTGGCAGTAATGTGACTCATTACTGCCGCTTCTCAGTCATAAGAAATAATTTACCGTCTACTTTAAATATTAGGAAGATGTGGAAAATGTACATAAATCAGTGCAACGACGACAGTAAAGTTCGAGAATGTTATTTCAGGGCAATATTCAATAGGTGCTATAATTTGTGTTTTGGGAGCCCCCGAACAGATACAGAAATTTAAAATGCACCGAATTACATGAAAAAATTAAGACGTCTACAGACACAACACAAAAAGTGAACCTAATGGCTGAAAAAAGATTGCATATTTTAAAGACGAAAGCGTTTTATCGCTTACTAAAGGAAGTAAGAGAAGACATGCTTGTCTTCTCGTTTGACTGCCAGAAAAACCAAGTCTTGCCAAAAATACCCGATCAGGCAGCTTATTACAGCCGCCAACTGTACAAATACAATTTTGCAATCGTTAAATCAGTACCTGAGAATACTTTAGGTAAAGAAAATGTCACATTATACACCTGGACAGAAGACGAGCACCGTAAAGGAGCAAATGAGATTGCATCTGCAGTGTACCACAGACTACAGACTACAATTTTTAGTCAAAATATAAATACCATAAGATTGGTAGCTGATGGGTGTGGTGCACAAAACAAAAATTCCATTATGGTTGGTATGTGTGCCACCTGGCTAAGTCGAGCACCGCCCCATATTAAAAAAATTGAATTGATTTTTCCTATACCAGGACACTCTTTTATTCCACCTGACAGAGTATTCGGCCTTATAGAAAAAGAAATAAAGCACATGGAGAACATAGTACAGCCAGAGGAGTATATTGAAGTCTATAAAAATTATGGGACTGTTATCCATTTTGATAATGTTATTATGGACTGGAACTTTAAATGGTATGATACGTCCTCCAGCGAATTGGCATTTTCAATTCGCTCAAATGAAAAAGTTTGTCTTGAGGAGAAATAGCAGCAATAATGTTTTTGTACAAGGTGAACCAAATTATAATGTTGAAGCAGGCTGTTACAAGTCCATTTTAAAAAGAGGAAAGTCATTTTTAGAAGTCAGACCCAATCAAATAAATAACTAATATTTCAAACAAGCAAAACTGCATGACGTGGATAATCTATTGACTAAACACTATGGCTCAGAATGGAAAGATAGGAGTGATTTGAGCTATCACAAACAGGTGATGACAAGATCAGTTGAAATGAGAACTAAAGGAATTGAAGAATATGAGCAAGAAATGTGCGAAATTGCGGTCCCAGAGTCGGAAATGAGTTATAAGCAGATTTAAGTGGTATTGTTTTTTTTTTTAAATAAAAACTATTTCATTTTCTAACGTTTTTTTAATCTTAATAATGGCAAACATGAGCTCCTACATGACGGCATGGGTTGTCGCCAAAAAACTTTCAAAACGTTAACGTTTTTGCTAACCTTACCTCCATAATGACGTCAGCCTACTCAAATGCAAAACTGCCACTGTCCAAACCTTTAGATGCATACTTACCACAGTCCATTACTATGATGCAAAGTCGCCACTGTCCTAATGATTTTGTTTTGTTTGCGTTAAAATGCTATGTGTAAATTACATTGCAGGATAAGAAATAAATTACATTAAACACAGCAAAACAAGTATAGTTAAATAGTTAATTTACAAACCCGAAGCACTACACTAACAACTTTATTTGACCCACTCCAACTCCATGGACAGTGGTGCCTTTGCTTTTATACCCCTCATTATATTATACTTAGGGCGCATTTATGCGTTGCATGTTCATTATACGCATTAAGGAACCCCTACCGTAAACTCAAGGTTGTCTTTGATTTCTGCAGAGAGTACTGCATTCTTATTATATTATTAATTTAATTGCATTAACATTGTGTGAATGGAAATTTAGGTACAGATCTTACAGCATAATGTAAAAAATTGTGAAAAAAAAAAGAATGATTTTCGCTACATTTTACAGACCATGCTTCCAATTCCGAAAAATGGACACTGGGGAAGCGCTCACGCCCAAAGCGATGAAGGCAACAATCCGAAAACTAGGCACCGAGTTTCAACAGATACTTGAAGAGTTCGAAGTTCGGAACATCACCGGCTGCGGTGCCACGCGCGCGAAACATACGCCCGCACAGCACGCGCTGCTGGGGCTGGCGGGCGCACTGCCGCTCGCGGCACTTGTGGCGACGCTCGTACTGTGCTGCATGCACTCTAGCGGTGAGTACACACGCGCACACAGCACGCGCTGCTGGGGCTGGCGGGCGCACTGCCGCTTGCGGCACTTTTGGCTTTTTGTATGGATAGGGTGATACAAAAGAGCACACAGTCCACCTGATGGTAAGTGGTTGCTGTGGCCCGGCATCTACATCTATCCTCTACGAATCAAAATGCAGATGCGTTGTCACCCGTAGGACTAAGATGGAATGCCTCGTTTCCAGTAAAAGGGTCTCCGGTTCTCTACACTCACCATACGAAATACAGCAGCATAAGCTACTTCACGCTGACTGGAGCGTGGCCCCGGCGAGCCGACCCCGTGCTACCACAATAACTGCAGCATCGGCTCTACCACGTATAAAGCGTGGCGACGCTCGTACTGTGCTGCAAGCACTCTAGCGGTGAGTACACACGCGCACACAGCACGCGCTGCTGGGGCTGGCGGGCGCACTGCCGCTCGCGGCACTTGTGGCGATGCTCGTACTGTGCTGCATGCACTCTAGCGGTGAGTACACACGCGCACACATCACGCGCTGCTGGGGCTGGCGGGCGCACTGCCGCTTGCGGCACTTGTGGCGACGCTCGTACTGTGCTGCATGCACTCTAGCGGTGAGTACACACACGCACACAGCACGCGCTGCTGGGGCTGGCGGGCGCACTGCCGCTCGCGGCACTTGTGGCGATGCTCGTACTGTGCTGCATGCACTCTAGCGGTGAGTACACACACGCACACAGCACGCGCTGCTGGGGCTGGCGGGCGCACTGCCGCTCGCGGCACTTGTGGCGACGCTCGTACTGTGCTGCATGCACTCTAGCGGTGAGTACACACACGCACACAGCACGCGCTGCTGGGGCTGGCGGGCGCACTGCCGCTCGCGGCACTTGTGGCGACGCTCGTACTGTGCTGCATGCACTCTAGCGGTGAGTACACACGCGCACACAGCACGCGCTGCTGGGGCTGGCGGGCGCACTGCCGCTCGCGGCACTTGTGGCGATGCTCGTACTGTGCTGCATGCACTCTAGCGGTGAGTACACACGCGCACACAGCACGCGCTGCTGGGGCTGGCGGGCGCACTGCCGCTCGCGGCACTTGTGGCGATGTTTGTACTGTGCTGCATGCACTCTAGCGGTGAGTGCAAACACGTACACACACGGTACACTTTACTAATACGTACACACATACTACACACATACTCGTGTATTTGCTCCCACCGTGCGGCCACTCAAGAAATCATTTTTATTTATTAACCTTCCGCTTTTGTGTGTGCCTATCTTCTGCGATTGCTGTATCAGATCCCCGTCGCAGGTCTGGATATTTTATATAAATCATAAACGGTTTATAGTTCTTACAATATCTACTGTATGCAATGGATTAATGTATTTCTAAAACCCAGGTCATTCAGTCTGCTAGTTGAACGTCGACTTTCAGTAAAAAGGTTAGGCTGTTATCTGAAAAGCTAATTAAGCTAGTTGGCTATGAAATATACATTACAACACAACCACTTGTAATCAATTACGTATGTAAACATATTTATTTTCATTCGTGAATGCAAATATTTCAATTATATAACCTAAGGTCACTATTGATAACATCATTTTAGTCACCAGTGATGTATTTACTTATGTATTGTATTCTCCCCGGAACAGCCAAGCGCCGCGGCCGCTCGGCCGGGCGCGTGTCGGCGCCGCCGTCGCGTCTCTACGCGGAACCGCTGTACTCAACCTGATGCAACCTCATTCTTTAGCAACTAATTGACTTAAATAATTCACTTCTTTACTTGTAACCTGTAATAAAACTGTAACAAAAATTTCAACTTTGACGTAGAAGATCACAATGTTGATATTTTTTTACAGGTTTAGAGTGCACTTTATAAATTGCACAACTTTTATATGTAACTAATTTTTGTACCAAAAACAACGAATCCGTCCATTTGCTACAATTTTATTATAACATTCAATGTTATTTACAATTTTATTATTTAAAAACAAAACATAAAATCATAATTTTAGAGGGTTTTATGAGGTTTATCACGCCAGTTGTATTTTTGTGATGCTTATATAATAGATAAAATATTGTTTCAAATATATATTTTTTTTTTCAATTTAAACATGTTGACAATCGAGTGATCAAATGTACAAAGTAAGAATAAAACTTCTGTTCTTACGTATTAAAATATTCACGTATTACCTTTTACAATAAAATATAATACTCATTCGATTAATATTAAAATGTTTAAAAGTGTAAGTTTCAAATCTTTTAAGACTTACAAAAATAAGGTTAATAATCTCTACTATCCTTAATAAAGGAAACATTTGTATACACGAAAAGTTGAGAATAACTTTGGGAAGGAAGCCGATAGGAACATTCCGTTAGTCTGAGCAGCATTTAGTAAGCTCCGTCAGGTTTTCTCGTCGCCCATACGACAGTTTTCATTAAAGTTTTCAACCAGTGTTACTATCCGAACTCTCCAATAGTGCAGTAGCTTTCGCATTTACAACACGACTACTCCATAAGCAAAATTTCGCTCAGTAAACAATGAAACGAGCTACGCCCTGAGTGTCTGGTGGATAAATGTCAAAATAAAGAAATCCACCGTAGGGGCGAGATTACTAAGCCTTCCGTGTTTGTAAACTCAAATTAGGCTCTCACGTCTTTCGTAAAAATGAGAACCCGTTAGAGTACACTTCCTAATAAAGTAGTTTGGGATGTTGACTAGGTAGAGCGGCAGTTTACGCAAGGTGGCTGTCAATACCTTAGTTTATCGCGGCGCTGCCGTCACGCCACAAGCAGAACACATCGAAGCCTAAATCGCGCTATAAAAGTTACGAAGTAAAACAATATATAAAGAATAGCTCCGAATTAGCACTCGGATTGGCCACTCATTAGGCTGAATACCTTGCCCGGTGGGAGACCTCCCCTTTTCCTTCCAAGGCTTAAAAGTCGAATACTAGGCTAAGTGGTGCGCCTGAGTAAACACTGAAAAGTGAATGAGTAAGCACGTAAAACTCCCTCAAGAAATTCTTTTATTATGGTGAGAACCGCATCAGAAACCATCACCATTACAGTCTATAAAAGCCTATCCTCCCCCATAAATTGCCTCATAGGGAAGATATTATAGTTGCCTCGCTTAGCAGGCGGGTTGGAAAACGAAGTTTTTTATAATTTTGAGTTGTCGTAAGATAGATGCTGCTGCCAATTCCCTGTTTCAGTTTCCCCCTATCGCCTCTTACGACACTCACGGGATGATGTGGGGTACTGGATATTGTTACACTTCATTATTCCACTTAACATAATATGCTTACAATTAATACACTGTCCCAAAGAATTCGGAAAAGTTGAACGCCTTACTCATAAATGCAATTCGGTATAATATTGTTTCTTTGTTCTTTTTAGAAGTACTTTAGACACTTTAGAGATATTTGAATTATCTTCAAAAAATATAAGTGGTAATCATTGAGCTATTATGTACTACGTACTAGAGGCGACACTGCATTCAGCTACTTTGTTCTTGTAGAGTTGTCACGTGTTGTGTTGATTTAAAAAAAATCTCTTGATAAAAATATGGCGTCGTATGTACTTGGATATTACACAAATAATTCAAAAAATGTCAGTAAAAACCAAGGAATTACTTTTCATCGGTTAATAAGATACTTAATCAATAAAAAAGTATTATGAATTAATAATAAAACAAATTATTCCTAAGACGCCATCTCGTGTCAGGGAATATAGATTATGAAATTAATATGTTCAGATGCGACATTTCTGTGGGTACTTAAGTATAGGACGAATATATAATTATTCACATTTTTTGTAGTAACATATATAAGTTATTATAATTAGGTAAAACTTTTCATGTTTAAATCTGCTTATTATTCTTTTATTTTATTTTTAGGTTTCCACATCAAAGTCAAAGTGGAATAAATTCGTTCATTTTTAACTCTCGCGTTCCCAGCATTTATGAACGACTTTTATTCTAATTTAAATAAGTATATTTGTAATGTAAATGTTATGTTAATAAGTTTTGTTAAACATACAATTAGTATGTTTTTTTATATTTGGCTTAGATACCTTTTAAAATATTCAGATAAAAATATCATTAAAATGTAATTGTGATATAATATTATGTAATATTATATTAAATAAGCAAATATAATACACAAAATAAATGACAAAATTTAAATATTGTTCTCGATATAATTTACCTATTTAACAATGTAACCTACGGATCATTCTACCTATGTTTATTCTATGATAAAAAAACTAACCGCGCGAACACAGAGTAGCGCACATTTTTTGTTTGAGATAGCTGTTCTAGTACGTAAGTACATATTACTTCAATGGTGGTAATTAAATAAACTAATATAAACTAGAAATTTATCACTATGAAGAACACGCGTATTTTTTTTTTTTTTTGAAAGGATTGTAGAACAAAGAAATGTTTTTCACTTAAACCCGTAAAAGATACACTCTTAAAACTGATTACCTATCACTTGCCAATGTTTAAATAGGGAACAATAAAAGAATTTTTTTTGTACAAATCTATGTCAAGTGACCATAACTCTAGTGTGATAATTGTGTATAGTCTTAATTTATATTAATAAGTCTAAGTCACAATAAAATAAAATAATATCAAATTATCATACGATTGAAAGATACTTTGTATTTATTATATTTTTTTAAATAATGTACATAAGATAATAAATTATTGGTGTTTTTATGTTTTTATTTCTATTTCTTAAATACATCATAAGGAACTCAGTAAATTTTAGACATTTCAGTCAGTTATATTACTCGTATTTGTGATAATACGTGTAACGCACTGCACATAACATTTTGGCTGACGTAAAATATGTCACCATTACGATCAATTTCAAGTCCACCTGATCAGTCATGATCCTCGAGTATCAGCTTTTGTATATAGAATAAGAATGACAAACGAACACACAGTCCATCTGATGGTAAATGTATACCGTGGCCCATAGACATCTACACTTATCCTCGAATAGGAATCAAAGTGCAGTTGCATTGTCACCCCTGAGGACTAAGATGGAATACCTCGTTTCCATTAAAATGAGTCTATGGTACACTCACAATAGGACACATAGTTGCTTATTTAAGCTGATATTTTATGAGAGCGCGGTCTTTCCCTCGCTAGAACCAGTACGCTTACGGTACTGACAGCCCTAGGCTAACTGTGAATATGCGTCCCACCTTCGTTCCGGCTTGTCCTGTCAATGCTTGCCCAGCCCACAAATATACTTTTGTATGGCAAATCCAAGGGTAGGATGCAAAAAGATCGCATCCTGTCCCAATACCTATGATGCCGAACACGGCGGCGACCTGCAGAACGCAACCGCGATGATAGCGAAGTGCCACCGTACGCTGGATCAGACACTGGTTCGAGGAGCCAAGAGGGGCATCGACAGAGACCTGATATTCGTCTAGATGAGAGGCCAGCAGAAGGTCCAACAGTGAAGGTACATGATCTTCTACATCTGGGATCCGCGTAGGCGAGGGAAGCAATTGTGTCAGACCCTATACCAAAGCAAAGTCATAAACATATCTACACGCATGTACGGTTAAACGAGAACCAAGCTATTCAGTGATGAGACCTGTTACCATTTTGGAAAGCTAATTAAAAGGGCATGTTTTTTAAAATATTTTTGTCTCATGTCGACGTTCGATGTTTTTGAAGTTCGTAACATATTATGATACGAAAAGTGTAAAAAAAGAAAAAATATTAAGACCCCTAACCCTAACTTTTTTTATATTTTTTGTATTTTTATAATTTCATTCGCTTAGTTGAAGCTTCAAAAATAAATAAACTTAAAAGAAAGCATTTTTTTTTATAGGATAGGGTGACAAACGAGCACACAGTCCACCTGATGGTATGTGGTTGCTGTGGCCCGTAGACATCTACATCTATGATCGATTAAGAATCAAAATGCAGATGCATTGTCACCCGTGAGTACTAAGATGGAATGCCTCGTTTCCAGTTCATTTCATTTCCAGTAAAAAGGTCCTTCGGTTCTCTACACTCACCATACGAAACACAGCAGCATTAAGCTACTATTTCACGCTGGTATTCTGTGAAAGCGTGGTCCTTCCCCGGTCGAGCCGACCCATTCGTGCTACAACTATCCTTACTACTAATATAACTGCAGCATGACTCTACCACGTTTCATATATAGTAGACCAAAATGGTTTTATTTTTAATTGAATACGAAGTGATTATTAAAAAAAATCGGCAAAACATATGGGGGGTAAAATTTGTAGCATTTTGACTCACACGCCCTTTTTATTTATCACGCCCTGCCTGGAAGTTGTCGAGTTCCCAGTAACCCTGTATAACTGTTGTCGCGTAACCGTTCTCGCATTTAACAAGAGCACTGGGTATTCTAACACAATCACAAAATTCGGAGTAATATAGCTTCTCCATGTAATAAATTGGTTGGTAATCTAACTCTTTGTTCGCAACGCGGGGCTATTTTAATTTCGTCAGTCGGATTGTGAATTACGGCTTCGGCGTCATCATTTTCGCTCACCACACAGAAAATCTCTCTCGATCTACTGATCGATTGTCGCGTGAGGATGCGTGAAGGACGAACAGTGTGCATTTCTCGACAATAGCTTGGATTAGATTCATGCTTGTGACATGAATTTACATGTACAGGCGAGTCAAGGTCACGGTACACGCCGCTTTTCGGTTTAGAAATCGCGCGTTTG